CGAAGTTAGTGTTACGTCCGGGTTTTTGCAAACGGTGATGTTAATTATTGCTCTTTCTCCCGAGACGTTACGTTTGTTGTCCTCCTGATAACGTTTCCTCGGAACGTTCCAGGAGTTGCTCCCCTTTCTTTTGGGTCAATCTGCCAAGCCGACTTTACCCGGGTGGCGGGAGCAGTCTTTTGCGGAAGGGTAAATAAAGGAGACCAAAGGTATGTATGATTTATTAACACATATAAATACAGATTAAACAAAGCCGTAGGTAGAGTATTATTAATGATTACACAAAGGGAGGTATAAGGTTTAATAGTAAGAATTAGTAAAGACTAGACACAGAAGAATGATTGTAAAAGATAACGTGAGTTATTAAAGGTTTAGTGCTCTGGGCGTTGCGCGCTAAAGCACTGGAGGGATGTTCCACTGGGCGCGTGGCGAATAAGGCCTTCACGCTGGTTAAATATTCGGGTAATTATTGAAAAGGATTAAGTATTCCACTAGGCGCGTGGCGAATAAGGCCTTCACGCTGGTAAAACACTGAGAGATTGATAGGAAATAAGCATCCGACCGAGCAAGCTTACTTTCTAGCTGGCAGATAACTTATATAAGGAAAGGCGAGAGAGGAAGTATTCAATTGCGGGGTTGACGGAACACAGGTTCTTGTCAATTGAATATAGAAATATTTTGGATAGATTAAGTTTCTGACCGAGCAGGCTTACTTTCTAGCTGGCCATAGACTTAAGAGTAAGGATGGAATAAGCGTTCGACCGAGCAGGCTTACTTTCTAGCTGGCCGATTGCTTGGACACGGATTAATTGGAGGGATAAGTATTCAACTGGGCGCGTGGCGAATAATGCCTTCACGCTAATTGAGTACTAGAGGGTTATGGTAAGGGTTGAGCTTCCAACCGAGCAGACTTACTTTCTAGCTGGTCTTTCACTCAAAGAGATTTTGGGTAGGTATAAGTATTCCACCGGGCGCGTGGCGAATAAGGCCTTCACGCTGGTAGCGTACTTGGATAGTTTGTATAGGTGTGAGAAAGGATGTAGCGTTCAACTGAGCGCGTGGCGAGAGATGCCTTCACGCTGGTTGAAACGCGACGGATAATAATTAAAAGAATAAGGTATTGCAAGGGATAAAGTATTCAACTGGGCGCGTGGCGAATAAGGTTAAGTATTATATTGTAACTCTAGATTATAAAAGAAAATACTAGAAAGACGTATCTATGATTTAGTAGATGCTGACGCAATGTCAGCCGAGGTTACGTAAGACTTAATGTAAAATGAAATAATGCAACGCACAACCGAATCACGAAACGAACGCAATAAAAATGCAAGAGTGTAACGCACAAACGGATCGCGAAGCGAAACAGAAATAGAATGAAATAATGCAACGCACAACCGAATCACGAAACGAACGCAATAGAAATGCAAAAGTGTAACGCACAAACGGATCGCGAAGCGAAACAGAGAAATGACAAAAGGGGGTTAGAAGAAAATGAGATACGCTTACTATGGATTGAGTTCGCTGTAACAGATCGCTCGCAAAGAGAGGAAGGTCGACTGGCGCAGAGTCCGCGTGGGCAAGCCCTCGGGTTGTCCGGGTACGGTGTCGCTACGTCGCCGTGAACGGTCCCGAATACCCGGATGACTCCTCTCCCGGGTAGCACGAGCACGAGCACGCTATCGCGACCCGAGCTATTCACTGACTGACTGACCGCAATGTTGCTGCTACGAGAACTGTTCACAGAGTGACTCCATGGTGGAAATATTACAAGGTGAAGCATTGCGCATCAGGGAGAGAGATGGGCGGTAACTTGGTATATTTCAACCAACCAGATGTGAGCGGCATTGCAAGCCGCCAATTTTGAAACAAGTTTATGTGAAATGAAATGAATAAATCATATTTGAGTTAAAATATATTTTATTACAAAAAATGAACAATTTATAAAATATAAAATAATAAAAGAATGAAATATACACTGCTCAAAAGAAATATGGCATAGAAAAATTTTATGCAAAAATTGGTCAACTTTGACTGACGGTAACTCCGTGAAAAATCATCGTAAAA